CTAGGGTATCTAGTAGCTTCCTCATACTCAATGACGAACTCCGTAGCCTCTTCAATAGTTAAAGGATCCCGGTTTAATTCTACATGTAAGCGAGCTTTCTCACTTGATAAACCAAGCAAAAATCTGGAAACTAAGTCCTCTTGTTTTGTCTTGTTACCCCTATCTGGATATGCCTTATTGTAGAGACTCTTAAGTTCTACTGCATAATCCTGCACAGATTCTCCATTTTTCTGGTCTCTGCGTCTAAATTTAGTCTGATAGGTCTTGTTGGTCTCAATAATACCAAAACGACTTTCTAATTCTTTGAGGAGTTTCTTATAATTGGACAAAATTGTTGGTCCAAGCTCCTCAAACACAAACTCACCTGCATGACCTTGTAACCTTGGCAACAGTTGACCTAATTTTTCTTTGTCTGTCCAACCATTGTGTTGAGCTACTGCTTCAAACCTGTTTATATAAGCTTTCCACTTCTCATCAGACTCTCCTTTAAAGGCTGGAAGTTTTACTGAATGACTGGAATTTCTGTTACCAAATATCTTTGGGGTTGACATGGATCCACTTGACCGTGCTGTTCTTTCATCGTCAGTATCCGAGTCCTCATCAAGCTCAGTGGTAGTATAACCAGTGGCTAATGGTAATCTCATCCTTGATGTCTTTCTGCTAACTCTGCAGACTGATGTAGGTTTCCTTCGGATTTTACTTCTCCCTCTAAGTCCTTGATCATCTCCGTTGGTTTCTCTTTCTTGACTGGCTTGACTGTCTTGGTTGGTATTGCTAAGGATCTTACCTAAATCACCTGTCATCCTGTGGAAGGCGCCATTGATTGTTTGGCTGAGACTGTCAATTATACTACCTTCATTGATGGTGACTTGATCCTTTTGAGTATGTTTTCCTTGGTTGGCTTGGCTGACTTGGTTTGTGTTACTTACAACCTTACCTAGATATTCAGTCATTCTGTTGAAAGCTCCATGGATAACCTGACTTAGACTGTGAATTAAACTCTCATTCATATTTCCTAACTCACCTTTTTGACTTATGTGATCTCCCTCAGCCAAAGAAGTCATTTGACTATGATATGGGACATTACCTGGACCAGTTTTAGTACAAGTTGTGTGATTACTGTTTGTACCAGTAGAAGTTCCACTCAAGCCTAAGCTTGTAACTTTGTGTGGAGTCTGTACTACAATCTTTGGGGAAAGTACCCTTTCATGTGTGGGGCATATGTACTCATTGACTACTTGGTCATCTTCCGTCGATTCTGTCAAGTTCTCCCCATCACTTGTTTCAGTGAGGTAATGTATCTCATGGGTTGTTGGCTTTGGTGCCACATTGATGATTTCCTTTGTCTCTGATTTATTCATTTCATCCTCCGTCATATTTCTATTCTCCTCTCCATGAAGAGCTGCTTGACGTCTGGTATACATGACTCAGTGGTTAAATATTAAAGAACCAATTCTAAAGATGAGTTCGTATCTCTGGATCCGCTCCTAAAACTTGTGGATCCCACTTCTGACACCAAAAATTGTAACGGGATAGCGCTCAATGGCTATCCCACTTCTGACACCAAAAATTGTAGCGAGATAGCGTCCAACGACTATCTCATTTAAGTATTGCTATAGTGGTTCTAGAAGACGGGAGTAAACTCCTTTTTTAAACACTGAGTCAATAACACTAAACTCGAAATTTAAGTTTTATAAATTTATTGAGTCTGCAAAACCAACATGAACAATTTTAATGCAAAGATAAATAATAATATCCAGGCCTTTTAACCACCCTTTTTACTGACAAATTTCACAATATTAAATAAATCCTAATAAACAGCCGGATCTCGAAATAATCGAAATATATGGCTGAAACCTATCTATTAAACTTAATTATCAATGAATAAAAGATTATTAACAACTGGAAATTCAGATACGATCGGATCCTGGAATAATCAAGATATATGATCGTAAATTAATCCCCAAAAGCTGTTAAAATTAAACTTTCCCCCAATTAAATTAAACCAATTACCGAATTACAATTAACAATTAGCAAATAATTACCAATTTCGTCTAAAAGCCCAAAATAATTACGTTAACCCTAGCATCAAAAATAGCAGACTCCCCGATTTACGGAAGAATCTCCCCTTTTATACTCTAGAGAAAATTCGTATACAAAACTCTTACGAATTCGTATAAATTCTTACGGAATATACGAAAAATACGGAAAATCTTATACGGAAAATAGTTCCATTAAGATAATTCGAACAATAATAAGTATTTCACCATAAAATAACTTGACTTTCATTCATTCAACAATAATTAATTAATCAATTACCTCATAACTGTTCATTTTTACTTCTTTACAAAACCCCAAGGGCGTATTAATAATACCGCGGATCAAGAGAAAAATAAACCGGAAGTAATGCAATACGCCACCATGTAAATAGAAAAATAGACTGTCTGCAAGCCTACAACACATGTCTGCACAATACAGGTAAAATACTAGTGAAAAACGTAATTTAAACAAAACATCTAGTGGTCCATACTCTTTTAACAACATGTATGCAATTATTTCAACAAGGACATCATTAAATACGAAAGGATATGCATGTATTACATGTACTCATTCTACTTTCACTTTGCATACGATGACATTACAAGTCGTGAATCCAATTTCAGAACATCACATAATAAATGTGCAATACATATGATCAAATTACTCAAAGTGTGAACCAAAGAAAGTGTTAAATGAATATGCCAAGCTTTGTAATTTAAAGACAAATAAAAAATATGGGGACTTGAAATGACCAAACTTTACACTTATATATGCGAGAATGAAAGAAGATGGGTGAATAAGGCGGGCAGAATGCCTATAGTGCGACAGATAAGAAGTGAAAATTTTAATCTCAATTGAATCCAAATTTTACTTGATATTTCATCTAATATTAAAGTATACTTTATTTAAAGACCCAATTTTTTTACCGTACGGTTACCTGAGGAGGGGGAGTGGTCAAAGTAACAGTGGTGTTATTTACCTGGAGACCCCCAATACCCAAGATGTCAAAAATCTGTGTATAGTTACGTAGCATTACACAGGAAGTCTGTGTTTGGTAATCAGGGTCAATATTACGTGTTTTGTGTCTGGTTTTGAGTAAAACTACGTAAAATAATTATTCTAATATGGAATTTATTTGTAAACTAAACGCATTCATCGAAATCATGGTAATGTTTTGAAGGGAAAAAAAATAATAAGATACAACTATATCGTTTTTAGAAAATTTTTTCCTTACATAAAAGAAAAATTAACCAGTAAAAACTACATATCAATAATATTATCTTTTTAAATCTTCAATAAAAGAAATCGCATGATTAAAAAAAGTCTGACTATTGAAATAAAACACTATTGATCCACCTATTCGTCGTGCATGTGAACAAGCATTTACCGCGATCGAAATGTCTCTTTTTATGGCCAACAGTGTTGTCCAAAATATTCCTTATTTTTTATTCTTCGTGTGTTAACAAAATTTTATTGTTAGAAAGATTTCTTTTCGGAATCGATCACTATTAATTATCTTCACATTTTCATTACGTATATATATATATATATATATATATATATATATATATATATATATATATATATATATATATATATATATATATATATATATATATATACAGACGCTAGAGGAAATTCGAGCATTAATTCTGACATCAATTTCTGTACAACATCGTGCGGCTTGTAGCCATAATACAAAATAAAACATCTTTTAAAAACTATGCTATGCCGTTTATTAGTACTGAATATTTTTCTTATATCCTATTTCTTAAAAATATAATTTAATTCGTCGGACTTCTAATTACGGCAAATAGAGCCGGTTTCTGTGGACGCGGTCTACAGATAAACGTGGACGATATAGCACTTACAAGTAACAAACAGCAGTGAAGATAGAAAAGAAATATTTTATTATGTCAATGTTTAAATAATCTACTTTCAATTATTTTTTGAAATAAAATTCAAACATATTGGAGTTTTCTAATCCGCGTGTATACTATGCGGGTACATGAAAGTGTTTGACGCGTGACCAGGTAATTGTTTTCAAAACATGCAAACTCAGATTATCATGAAGCACTGGTAGCTGACCCGTCAATCAAATCAGAAGCTATTGTTTTTCTTATGATTGACAGGCGGTAAACTATTGATCTTGAATCAGGTAGACTTTGGGGGCGTTAACATAAAATTGGGTGTTTAAAATCTTTACAATTTACAAAAATCTCACAAAGACAGAAAATATTCCCCTATGAAAATGCTTACACACACTAAAAAGAACAAAAACGATCATTTTCTCATACTTAAACAAAATTTTTCAATATGGGTGGGTTTCTCTCCATTTTTTTGAAAGATGATCCTAAAAGTGTACAATAAAATACACATTTTTTGGTTTTCAAAAACATGGAGCGAAGACCCACTATACCTTAAAAGTATAATTTTATGACACAACACTAGCATCTTTCCGAGAAATACTTCGTCCATTAAGTCGCAGGTCATATCACAAACATGATTTAAATGCCTGAAATCACCATGAGCGGTGTAGCATAGTGGTTAACGCGTTAGTCTCAAAGCAGTATGCTATTGATACGTCGGATTTTTATTGCTAGGGTTCGAATCCCACGAATACCATATAATAATTTTATGAAAGAAAATTTTTTACGAGATTTTTTCTCTCTCAGAAAAGTTTTTTTTTACTCATAATTTCAAAAATTTCAATAATTAGAAGTTAGTTTAAATAATCAATTCACATATTTAATATGATTTCTTAATATCTGACGCGATAGGCATTCTGCCCGTCTTGTTCACCCATCTTCTTTCGAGAGCACAATGCCTCTTTTAATGCGAAAATTTCACGAGAATTAAACGTGATTTACAGTATGCTGACCATGTACCATTTCTTTCTTTGCGACAACACAGTTATGTACTGTTTTTTTTTTTTTTTTTTTTGATAATTCTTGTGACAGTGGGCCATCCATTTCCTGGTGGACAGTGACTCTACTGATGAGTATTTCTACATGATAACAGTACAAACCGGCCTCAGACGTGGGGCAGGGACAAAGTCCGTGGTCAATTTTGTCCTGGCGGGCGAGGAAGACGACTCGGGCGTGAGAATCCTCAGCGACGGTGTAAAAGAGGTACTAGTGTATCTATCAATGTTTTTTGCATTTTTATTCTACTTAGGCTTATATCGAACCGTAACATAAAAAGTTTCAACGATGCATAAACACTTTCGTGTATCAATAATTAAACTTCTAAACCATGTTGCAGGGATTCGACACTGGAAGTGTAAAGAAGTTTATTATGGGTACGAAGGAGAAACTTGGTGGATTAACTTACATACGTATATGGCATGATAATTCTGGGTCTGGCGACTATCAGAACTGGTATCTCAACAAAATTGTAGTGGACGATCCTCAAACAAACACCAGGTATAAATCAAAGTATTTTCCCTTTATATTTTGATGTCAAAAGGTATCAACATTGTATGCTTTTTTAATATAAAATATTTGTTTCAGAAAAGTATTTTTTCTTAAATAATGTTTTCAATAGATATGTCTTCCTTTGTGATCGGTGGCTGGCATTGGATCAAGACGATGGACAGGTGGACAGAGTTGTCCCGGTTTGTGGAAGGGATAATCTGGTGGCCTTCAATACTCTATTTGCCCAGCATGCTCAGTTCAATTTAACAGAAAACCACCTTTGGCTTTCCCTAATGATCCGTCCAGAAAGAAGTCCATTCACAAGGGTTCAGCGGCTATCCTGTTTGCTTGCTCTATTATTCTTGACAATGATTGCAAACGCAATGTTCTTCAAATCATCCTCAGAGGAACAAAGTAGTAACGAAGTCCAGATTGGGTTTCTACGGTTTTCTCTGTCAACGGTTTATGTGTCTATAATTGGTATTGTTTTAACTACGCCTCCCATTATGTTTGTTACAATGGTATTCAAAAAATGTAAACCGAAGGTTGAAATAAAACACAAAAGCAAGAAAAAGGCCGAAGAGCTCGACATGAAGATCAGAAAAAACATGGACATGGAATTGAAAAAGAGAGCCTTTAATGGCGAAGATTTTTTCACCAAAGACCATCTCCCGTTACCATACTGGATGGCTTACGTTGCTTGGGTAGTCGTTTGGCTCGCTGTAATAACATCGGCATTTTTCCTTATTCTCTACAGTATGGAATGGGGCAAATCAAAAGCGGAAGAATGGCTTTCTTCTTTTTTCCTTTCATTCTTTGAATCCTTGATTTGTGTTGATCCTTTGAAGGTATTGTTATATTTTATTCTTTCAAATATTTGAAAAAAAAACCCATATGTTTGACACATATTGTATAAAGATCATGAAATAATTCAAGCATTACGCAGATAAATTAAATTTCTTTTTTACTCTATATTGCAGGTTATAATAATAGCAGTTCTACTTGCAATGCTTTTCAAACAACCCGCAGACGGTGAAACTCCTAAAATGGATTTAAACAAGCTGAAAGCGACAGCTTCCCAATACAATGCCGGATCAGAGCGCAGTTATATGGGTAAAGACATTCGTGCATAATGTTAAAGAATAATATTTCATCACTGTGTTTCGAGCAAACATGTTTTAGCTCTACTGGTCAGAGACCAGAAGAGCTTATGCGACAGTAAGGTGTCCGTCGTCCGTCCGTCTTTCTGTCTGTCGAGCTGTCCGTCTGTCTGTCTGTCCGTCTATCTGTAAACAATTTTTCAAAATGCCACTCCTCCTACAGTTTTGGTTTGATTTCAATATAACTTGGCACACAAGTAAACTACACTAAGATACATAAATTAGTGCATCGGTTTTCGATTTCGATGAACGGTGTTGGTTACTAAAAATACAAGTTTCTGTGAAATTCCTTTAAAACGCTACTGCTATTACAGTTTTGGTCTGATTTCAATATAAGTTAGCACACTAGTAGACTACACTTAGTTAGATAATTTACTGCATCGGTTTTTGATTTCGTTGAACGGTGTTGCAATGGTTACTAAAAATAGAAATTTCTGTGAAATTCCTTTAAAACGCTACTCCTCCTACAGTTTTTTGATCTGATTTCAATATAACTTAGCATACAAGTAGACTACACTAAGTTACATAATTTCATGCATCAGTTTTTGATTTCGTTGAAGATGTTACCATGGTTAGTAAAAATAGAAATTTCTGTGAAATTCCTTTAAAACGCTACTCCTCCTACAGTTTTGGTCTGATTTCAGTATAACTTGTCATACAAGTAGACATCATTAAGGTACATAATTTAGTGCATCAGTTTTTGATTTCGATGAACGGTGTTGCCATGGTACTAAAAATTGAAATTTCTGTGAAATTCCTTTAAAACGCTACTCTTCCTACAGTTTTGGTCTGATTTCAATATAACTTGGCACACAAGTAGAACTGCACTAAGATACATAATTTAGTGCTTTGTTTTTTTTATTTCGATGAACAATGTTGCCATGGTTACTAAAAATAGAAATTTCTATAAATTCCTTTAAAACGCTACTCCTCCTACAGATTTGGTCTGATTTCAGTATAACTTGGCATACAAGTAGACTACACTATGATACATAATTTAGTGCATCAGTTTTTGATTTCGATAAATGGTGTTGCCATGGTTACTAAAAATAGAAAATTCTGTGATATTCCTTTAAAACGTTACTCCTCCTACAGATTTGGTCTGATGGTAATGGCTTCTCTTCTCTTCCTTTGTTATAAGTACAAGCCAGTAGAGCTACAGTCTCGAGAGAGACTTCTGGTTTAATAATTGACACAATGATCTTGTCGGCAAATACAATTTATCATTCAAATGCTGACTGACATTTTTCACACAAATTGTCAGTCCATTATTTATACACTGAATTGACGTTTTCCCGTTATTTAACGATCATGACAAGGAGCACATGGCAGATGTGACTGGTCGGCAGGGGATGCTCACTTCTCCAGGGCACATGATCCCACCTCTATTTTGGAGGCCCGTGTTTGCTCTGCTCCTATTTTATATTGTTTTATGGACTTCTGACTCTGAATACTGTTCGTTATCATCATATGGTTCATTATACAAACAGGTTGGATACATGTTCTTTAAATGTTGGTTTAACTAAACATTTTCCTTATAATGTATTTAATGGTTGTCATATTCTGTTTATTTAAAATGTGTGTTTAATGAATGGATAGTTCTGGCTTTAGTATGGCCTGGTGCAAATGCAAAGACGGTATCTTAATTTGATTTAAAGATAGTCATAGATGACACATTAATATTTTGTAGCTTTCGTAAATGGAATATTTAATAAATCAGAACCGCCACCTCAATCAGACCTCGAAAAGCTCAGACAGAAACGAAAACAAGAACTTAAAGCACAGGAGGCGCTGATGAACCTTATATTTTACGCCATCTTTATGTTCGTCATCTACAGTATCAGCTACGTTGAGCGGGACCATAGAGCATTTTTCATGAAATCCAACGTAGATAATTACTTGGTTGGACATGGCAATGGACAGCTAGGGTTCTCAGGGGTACATATAATGCTTCTCATTTATCCATCAATATGATTATTGAGTGTTTTAACACTCTTAAAAAAGTTTTACTCAGTAGTCATTTTTTTACTTGAATTAACAAAGATAAGTAATAGATCATTACTAAGCATTTACTTAAAATATTAAATCAATTACTGAAATATATGTTAATTACTAAGCTCAAATGTTTTACTTGATTTTTGTTTTTTAAAGAATTGTTTTACTTATACACACTAAAAAGTTTTACTAAGTAATTTATATTTACTTAAATTTGTGTATATAAGTAATAACATTACTTGGTCTTTACTTACATTTTACCACTATCTACTATATAACTAATACTTCTATGCCCCCATAAACATAGTTTCGGGGGTATATAGTTTTTGTCGTGTCCGTCTGTCTGTCTAGCTATCTCTCTGTCTGTCTCTCAGTCTGTTTGTCCGCAAAAACTTTAACCTTGCCCATAACTTTTGATTTAGCGGAGCTATGACTTTCATATTTCACATTTGTGTTCCTAGTGACAAGACCTTTCTTTGGGTACCACCAAATTTGACCTTGACCTTGGAGTTTGACCCACTTTTACACAAAAATTCCTAACTTTTTCTTTAGCCATATCTTTTGAACAGTAAATACCAAGACATCTATACTTCACATATATATTTTTTGTTGAAAGACCTTTCATTGGATACCAACAATCATGACATTTTAACCTTGACCATGGAGATTTCCATCCTTGTGAAAAAACTTTAACCTTGGCCATAACTTTTGAACGGTAAGGGATGGGGCTTTCATACTTACATATATGTAACCCTGTGAGAAGACCATTCATTGGATACCAAGAACTTTGAGCCTTTGACCTTGGAGTTTGGCCCACTTTTAAAAAGCAAACCTTGACCATAACTTTAAAAGGGTTAGGGTTAGTGCATTCATACTTTACATATTTCATCCTTGTGACAAGACCTTTCTTTTGGTACAACCAAATCTGACCTTTGACCTTGACCTTGGAGTATGATCTACATTTCAAAATTGGTAACCTTGACCATAACTTCTAAAGGGTTGGGGCTAGTGCTTCCATATTTCACATATGTATTTTTTGTGACAGGACCTTTCATTAGATACCAATAACCTTGACCTTGGAGATATCAAGAAATACCAATATATTAAATTTACATATAAGAAAAGTTTAACCTTTGCTATGTTGCCATATGGGGGCATCAGTGTTTCACAAAAACATCTTGTTTAAATTGTATTTAATTGATTTACTTAAAACAATAATTTATTTACTGAATGAAGGAGAATTTAGAGCAGTTGAAGTACAAATAATTACTGAAATACGGTAGTCTAATTATTATCGGGATTGAATTCTTGAAATGTAATATATAATTTTGGTTTCCATGTTAATATTAATTGTCTGTGAGGAGGAGTTATCCTTCTTCTAAATATTCCTTCATGTGAAAAAAAGGCATACTAAAAAAAATGCTGTATTAAAGTACTTGAAACATTAACCTATTTTTAAAATGGTCCTTAAAAAGATACAACTTTTTCAATTTATAAAGCTTTTGATGTTGGAATAAAATGTTTAATTGTAAAATATAATAAAACAATTACAAAGAAATTGGCAAAAGAAATAGAAAGTATTGTTTCCATCATATGTATGGACAACTTAGAGGGTTCAAATAGGAAACTGATCAAGAAAAATGTGAGTAATACTCACATTTTGAACTTTCAAAGTTATCTCTTGTATCAGAGGATCAATATATACCTTGCAGTGTTTCTAGTAAATAAAGTCGATTTTAGTAAATATGATAAATATTTTATTTATTTAGTATTCTTTTAAGAAATAATATTCAATATTTTAATTAATTTCAGTATTACATTTACTTAGTAATAATTCATAAAATTTAGTAAATAGAAAGCATATTATCTCTAAATTAAGTAATAATAATTTAACAAAAATGAGTAGTTCATTTACTAAGTAATATAACCACTAACCATGATAGTCATTTACTTGCTATTCTGACTAAATGGATTACTAATAATTACTAGTTTTTCTTAATCTAATATCTTATTTTAAAAACAACAAGTAAAACTTTTTATAGAGTAAAAACATTTTGTAAAGCTTAAAACTTGAAAGAGTTTCAGTCGATAGAACGAAATAGATGCTGGATTATAGAAGTTGCCTGTCATAGTCGCGTTGGATTTAGCCCATTTGAGAAGATAGAAAAAAAAGACTTCATATAAAAAATGACTAAAATTATACCTTTATGTCAGGAGAGGAAAACACTTCCTTTTTAATTTTTTTTTGTCAAAGCTAGATGCCTGCATCATTAATAGTAGTTTTCATCAATACCAAATAATTACGTGTACTAAAATTTTGTTAGATTTTTTGTATTTGATATAGGATCTATCTGTTTGCAGGTTGAAGTTTAAAAAACCGTACTGTGAAATAAGGCTTCACTGATAAAACATCATTTTTTAACAGATCAACAAAACTGCCGACCTCTTCTCTTGGTTGAATCAGACATTCATCCCTACTTTATACCCTGAGAACTATTATTCCGGTGCCAGTCTGGAACTCCAAGATCAGAAATATTTTGGGGATTTGGCAAGTATCCGAGTAGGCCCTGCAAGACTCAGACAAGTCCGTATGACTAAAGGTATCCAATAGATTCTAGTATTTTTGGTGGTTTGTATAAACGAAATTAACCAAATCATGCTTCATTTTTTTATTACAATTTTCATTTTTGAATAATGTACTCGTAAAATATTATATAAAATATTGTGTGCCTAACCTAATTACTGCATATGTTAGGGGAGAAAAATACTTTATTGTTTTTTTTCTTTGTAAAACGACGTGAGAAACAATGATGTATTCATTTTGTTTTTAGGGGAATGCAATTACAATAAATTAACATGGCCACGCTACTGTGTGGATTACTACAATATGTATCAAGAGGACGAAAGCGAATACTGCCTTGGTTGGTACCCGTTTAACGCCAGTGCTTGTGACACTAAAGTTTATAAGGCCCAATTCCAAACGGCTGCTGCATGGAGATTTACAAAGTCCATTGACGTCTGGGGTCTTCCATTAACAGGCGAATACAATACCTACGGAGGTGGTGGATATATCCTTAAATTACCATCAAGTAGACTTGCAGCCCAAAATCAATTGAAAGAACTTCAAGACTACAACTGGATTGACAGAGGAACACGTGCTATTATAGTGGAATTTACTATCTACAATCCCAATGCTAATCTGTTTACATATGTTACTTACATAACAGAAATAACAGAAATGGGTGGTTCCTTTACCTGGACTGAGACAAATCCATTCAGACCGATTGTTTCTCTCAATGCTATGGGAACGTTTGCTATCATATGCTATTGTGTATACGTTTTGTACCAGCTTATTCTAACTTTCAACACGCTAAAAGGGATTCGAAGGGATGGACTCTGTAAATACTATAAGGTGGTCTGGAATGTAGTGGATACGATATGCTTGATTTTGGGATACAGTGCTATCACAATCTTTATTCTCAGACTGTCTTACACGAACCAGGCAATGGACGTATTTTACGACGACAAGCTTACAGGAGAAAATAATTTCATCAATTTCTTTCATATTGTCGTGTGGGACATGCTCTTTAACATCCTAATGTCCATACTCGTGTTTATTGCAACACTGAGAATATTAAGAATCCTTGGATATAACCAAAAACTGACGGAAATAATAACCGTTGTCACTAGTGCAGCTAAAGAAATCATTGGTTTCGGCGTTGTCTTTGGAATGGTGTTTGGGGGATATGTCATCTTTGGATATCTTATATTTGGGCGTTCCCTTTACGAATACAGAAGCATTTTCACTTCTTGGGGAACTCTCACTAACGCTTTAATAGGCAAGAACAGCTTGGATACCATGATCAATGCAGCCCCACAACTTGCACAATTTTACTACTTTACATATGTTTTCTGTGTCCTTTTCACGCTTATTACCATGTTTGCTGCTATTCTGAACAAGAGCATTACCGAGGTCAGAAATGAGTCTGCCGCACAAGGAGATCAATTTGGTATTGTTGACATGCTAACGAAGTCTTTTAAGGACATCATTGGTATTGCTTACAAAACTGACAGATCAATGTCTAAAAATGCAGAGGCAAAGAAAAGTAAGCACATATTAATAACTTTATAAACAAGAGCATTTCTAGAATATAATATGCCACACGACATCTGCACAGCCACGTTGAATTTTTATCAAGTTTATTTTAAGTTTGTCATCTAAAGAAAATGTATTCATGTTAGTAATTATTTTAGATAGTTTACACATCAATATCAGCACTTACAATAAGTGTTCTTGAAAATGTTCTTGAACAACAATTTTTCAGCGATATTAGTGCACATCATACGTATTTTGCATGCCTTGAAGCATTAAAGCACATTATTTTATTTTTATCGTAACATGTATAACATTTTTAGAGCTTAGAACAACAAAAAGCGGCAATTTTGACACCTGATAGATAAAATCTTCTTTTTTGGAATTTTTTCGTTACTTTTACAGAATACATGCAAAGTATTGGTATGAACGCTAAGTTTGATGCTCCTAACATTCTGCGACTGGTACGCACTACCCTAGGCGAGGTCAACGACGGAGAGGTGGGTGAACTGTAGATGGAGAACACATTGAATTGAAACCCTTTTTTCAGTTAGATTCTTTATTATTAAATTCATACACGATGTACAACAGAGACTTTCAGAGAAAATTTGGTTGAATGATGTTAAACGTAATTTTTGGAATGACTTTGAATTAAACTTTCGTAGTCTTTCATTGCCAATCGATTACTCAATGTTTTAAGCAGCTCGTGTCTATTAAAGGCGTGTCTGTATCTGTATCTTACTTTTGAGTTAATAGGGAACAGCATATTTTTAATAAGCATTTTAAGAGAGGGAGAACCCAGTTGTACCAGTGTTTATGTAAATTTTAGGGTGAATTGCTAACGGTAATAGTCTGGTGAACTAAGCACTAGCTACCTAGCACGCATGTACAGTCCTAACAGGATCACGCTTAAATAATTCACGCCTGCATGTCGGATGAAGGGATTGCTTTCACTGGCGTACTTTTGTCAGTTATTGTTTAGTTGTTCCGTCAAAGAAACACTTTTGTACAACATCTGATTTTAATCTTTTAAGAAATGGGTTACCATTAATATCAGAAAAACAGTGCCCAATTTGCTGCGGAAAATCCCAATTACCTGTATAGTCGGGCACACGTAAAATAGAAGGTTTTGCTTTTTTTTTTCTTTTTGGAAAAGATCGGGTTCCTAATGACAATGTCCTTGTTTTGCTGTCGGGAGACCCAAAATATCTGGTTAAAATGTAAACGTTTCAATTTTTAAAGGGATTGGAGAAGTTTCGGATAAGGGGTGGTTGTACCCCAGGTGCAACGGACGTAGGGACAGACATATACATCCATCGCAACTTTATAATAAATCTGTTTCGGCGACTTAAAATATTTTGCTGAAAGACAGGACATTCGATAGTTGAGCTTCCTAAGCATGGTAGATAGAAAATTGATTTGAATTTCTTCTGAACGATCTTAATGTCTACTTAAGTAAACAAGCTCTTTTAAACTTTTATTAAAGCGGAGATCAAACAGAATTTCTTTTCTTTATTTTGCATCACTTACAATATACGGAAAGCAGATTATCCAAAACAAGATTGAAATACGGGGTCAAATCTTAATACAGGGTCTCTATTGGCTATCCTTTCTATAAAATAATTTTACACAAGATATGCAGGGAGTTATGTTTTTGGAACAAATGAATGCTGTAAGAGCGGTTAATATTCAGTTTATTGAATTTCATCTTAAAATTCTAGGAGTTTGATTATTTCAAGAAGAAACAGATTCGATAATTATGGTAAACGTAATTTATGTAATTGATGGTTGTTTTCAAATTGTTTGGTAAAAATGTTTTTAAAATTTCATCATTCTTATCTCTGAGAAAGCATGCTATGAGAATGTCATTGTTGTGTATGATTCTACTTCTATAAATAAATATGTCTTTTTAAGATTATTGTTGATATTTGCTTTGATATTTGCATTAATTTTCCTGGAATATTAATAAAAAGCTTCAATATTAGAATGATATACTTTTTCATGAATTATTAATTGGTAAGCGAGAAGAATGACTTAATCTATATGTATATGAGTTAAGGGATGAACGTTTCTCTCAGCACAGCTATTCATTGAACAATGCATGACTTGCACACAGCATGACAATAATTAGTCGAGCCAAATGCTTCAACGTGCTTAATGTAAAAATTTTTGGATCAACATTCTTTTGATCAAGTTTCACTTCCTACGTCAATGTAAATTTTTAAAATATTTATGTCGACTGTAATATTCTCTCTCATTGCTTTCGTTGATCGATCATACTTTGTCCTTCATTTCTGTGTTTGCGTAAGTAATTTGATGTGATATGGACCGAAAAACGGAACATATTTTTTTTTTTATAAGTTTTTGAATTTGATTATTTATCGGGAGCATTTAAATAATATAAAAAATCTATGTTTTAATACCAGTTTTTCATTTTTTTTTAATTCAGCAACAACACATGGAGAATTCCAACTCAGAAAGCCTTCTTCTAAATAAGTTGGATCCGTACTCACAAAGTAGGTCTATCTCGAGGGCATCCGGAGCGGAAACTCCAGGGGACATAAGTCTGGCTTTCTATGATACCAAGCGTTAACTATAACCTCCGAAATCTTCTGTAGATTTTACTGACTTTAATAATTTATGTCTGCAGTTGTTACATATTCCATTCAATTTACACTAGTGTTAAAGATGACTATATTTTCGTATTGTTAATTTGAATTTCATTCCCTGATGCAAATATTTATGATTACTGATATTGATTTTTAAAATTGTTTTCTACTTAGAGAACTACTGTTTTTCCTGTGAACAATATATGCATATTGATAAAAAGAGTGTGCCAGTATTTTCTTACATAGCACGTATCTATCCGTATAATTTTGTCATGTTTATATAGCAGTAATCTGTGTGTAAGAAATGTTACCGTATTATGTTTTAAAATTGTTAGTGTCTTAAAACAGCGATAAAACAATGGTATTTTAAAGAAAAGACGTGTTTTAACTATAAAGATTCAGTCATTGTATTTCCGTATTACGTCATATCATTACGCTTTTTTTCTAAACACTTGTTCATCACCAAGAGGCAGTGGGCTCTGTAAGTTTTTTGTGTAAAGGTGTAGAGGTTGTATTTGTTTTACCAGCATCATCCATATAATTTGAATAGAAAAGGGTATATATTACTTAAAAATCCGCTTTGCTGTAGTAGAAGGCGACCACTGATAATTGGTGATAAACATACGATGTCTCTTCGAATTTCCTTAAAAATTAAACACTGTGATATAATTTGTATATAGATTTGCAATAAATAACTCAAACTGACTTTCTACAACATTTTTTCTGTGGTTTCATCAGGTTTTAAGCGCATGGAAAAAGAAACATTAAAATGTTGTAAAATGATTTTTATCAACAACCTAAAAGGCATTAGGTCGCAGTCATCGTTTCTAAATATGTCCCATTTTGTAAAATGAAACATATTGAGATAATGAACAGTAATCAAGATCAAAAGTCCATAAAACAATACAAAACAAAAGCAGAGCAAATAATACGGGCCTCCAAAACATCAGAGGTGGGATCATGTGTCATGGAGGAGTAAGCATCCCCTGCCGACCGGAGGATCGGGAAATAACTGAAAATCCGTCTTCAATTCTGTGTATAAATAATGGACTAACAATTATAATGGAAAACGTTAGTCAGCATTTGACTCAATGATAAATTGTATTTGCTGATAAGGTCAGTGTATCGACCATAGAACTTACGAAAAGATGACTTAAAACGAGACTGTTGATATTCTCATTTCATCAACTTGTTTGTTAATAGTATTTTCCTCGTTTTAGAAATTGTTCACAGGTAGAGCATTTTCTGGCGTATCGAATCAAGTGAGATATATAAACTCAATATGCAGTTCATGAAGGTATATTGCTGCATAAGTATAAGGGAAGTTGATGATAGAAAATTTAAAGTCAATGCGTTTTTCTTAGAGCTTGGTAAAAGTATTGGAAGAAAAACTGAATATACATGCATTTCAAATGTTAGAAAAGAATATTTCCAAAATGGGCAAATGTAATAGAAATCAATCGACTACAGTAAACGATCCAATGGCGGGCTTAATATAAGTAATTACATTGATTTGATTTTATCAGCAAAAACCTAGATTTTGTAATATAAGAAAGTACTGTCTACCTCAGCGTTGGCTTATAAGTTTTCTCTCTCTCATACCTGCATAACATGTGAAGAGGCAACAGAGTTACTAACATTTTATAAATTACATGAACATGCAAATATGTTTTTAAAATTGCCCAGGTGAGCATGTGGCCCATAGGCCACCTATGTCAGCTATGAGGTGAAAAATTCATCATCAATCTGAAATGAAAGATAACTTTTGATTTTTTATATTCGCCACCATATCGCTGCCAGAGATAAAAAAAAATCTTAGATTCTTTTCTTCAAGATACCAGCTGATCAATCATATTCTAGATAATGGTTTGCTTCAGAGTATTGGAAACCTTAAATTCTGGCTATATGATTGTTATACAGAATTTCTTTTTGTTCCGAAATTATGTCTTTCCAGATAAAACTGAAAACTTCAATACCCCACTGCACATCATGCAGTCATATTTCAAACAAAAGCTTCTGCTAAAAAGCTGAGAAGTTTGAGAAGAAAGAAACAAAAAGTGCATAACATGTAACTTAACTTTTCATACACAGTATGGACATAAAAAAAGCAATAGGACCTTTGGCCACATCGCTCATCTTAACACTTTGGCTAGGAAAAAGCAAAAAAAAAAAATCAGATAAGTATTAAAAGTAAAAAGAAAAAGATTTTAGAAAAGATCCCAAACTACAAACATCTCTTTGAGAGAGGAATATTGAATCTCCACTAACTAACGTCCCTTTTTGCACGGAATGTTTAATTCGAATTAAACGTAAGTTACTGCTTCCATATTTCCTTAATTAGTCGTGACTTAAGAATTTTTTTCCTGACACGTTTGATATTTTGTGGCACGGACATGTTTAGAACAATCTTGAGGATGTTTCTGAGTAAATAAAACTAATCGTGGCTTTCCTGTTCTTGAGCAGACTCTGAGCTCCTCGGGTGACTCGTTCCTCGCACACTAATTTTGAATGGAGCATAGCGGAGTAAGCCGAGGACTGGATTGCCGATTGGTTCTTGGAAGATTTAAAAAAAAATTTTCTATATCCTCCTATTTATAACTTAGTTCGATCACCTATAGTTACCCCCTGACCAAAGATACTGGGCGGTAAGTTTGGTTAAAACTGGTTAAGAGGAACTCAAAACAGTCGATAAGACATGCACATGGGCGCCAGACAATTTGGATAAGAAAAACTCATTTCAACCTTTGGCACAGGTGAGCTATACACAATACTGAAGGAGTAGAGAGTTAGCATGCATGTAAAATATTTTTAATTTGTTTTAAATAAAGCTGATTCTCTATGTAATGTATACCGGTATATACATATCGATATGATAATTAATTTGTTGAAATAATATTGGAGCAAATATAGGAAACGAAATAATTGCCGTTCCGTTCAAAGGAAAAAATCGATCATAAAAATGAATATTCCATTTTTGATTAAACAGAAAACAGTCTGGGTCATTCAGGAATAAAACAATACAAAATGAATTTACAAAAGAGAAAACTCTTTCAGCATCAAATATTTTATAAAAATAAATTTTGATTGTGTAATTTTGAATTGAAAGTGATAAAAAAATGAGAAAAGCTACGTTAACAAAGTATGATCAATTCCAACAGACAATTGGTCTGATCGAAGTATTTTGCTCATTTTAAAACCGTATTTATATTAAGATGAACGTGGTTTAAATGCTGGAAATCCAACATATTCTCATAGGTCACTTGACAAACTACGCTGATTCTTCAAGCATGCAAGTACTCCTTAGTATTACAACAATGCTGGAATTCCTCATTAATTAACATGTATGTAGTGTTCAGAGGTCATGTCTTCCAATAAACTGTAGGGAAACCAGACGTGTACTGAGAAACTTCTCCTTTATCAGATAATTTGGTTTATTTCCTATTAAGAAAACATATTGAAACACGTCTACGTGGCAAGGAGAAAAACACTTACTGTGGCTTTAAACACTATCATTCAGCATTTCTTTAGAAGTGGTGAAAAACAGATATGGATACTTTAAAATTATATGGAATTTTTGGAAAATTATAGATCACAAAATTTAGCACACAATTCAAAATGTATGATTTCTCAACTCCATAAACAACCATTCCTTAAGATAAATTGAAGTCCTGGTATTTTAACAGTATTGGCATCCCCTTTTCCTATAAAAATGGAACTCCTATATTAAATTACCTTAACAATGGTCATTTCCAAAATTATTTTATTAAAACGCTTTCTGGTTGTACATACAAATACTCTTAAGTTGATATTTAAAAGAAGCAGTAGTTTCTTATTGACAACATCTATGCGGTTTTTGGAAACCAGATATTTCAACAATCTGTGTAAATTCCCATGGGTACCCATTGTACTTCGTTAATAGCAGACCGATTATTGTATTCGTTTGTAGAGATGAATTTATTCATGCTGATAGAGCTCAACTTATCTTGGAGAACCAAGCCGGTTTTCGAAAAGATTTTTCTACTCTGGATCATATTTTTTCATTATACTCACTTATTGAACTGTTTAAATTATATAAAAAGAAACTGTACTGTGTTTTTATAGATTTCGAGAAAGTCTTTGACTCAGTCTGGCGATTAGGTCTTTGGAATAAAATTTTATTAAACAATATAGATGGCAAATGTTTTAAAGTTATAACTAATATGTATAAGGATATTAAATCAAGAGTAGTAGTTAACGGAATATCATCAGAAATGTTTTCATGTACTGTTGGAGTGAGACAAGGTGAAAAATTACCACCATTTTTATTTGCACTATATTTAAATGATCTTGAAGGTTTTTTGTTTGACAAAAATGTAAAAGGTTTGAAAAATATATCTGAGAAAATTGAAGATGAACTTAATATATATCTGCGGCTTTATGTTTTACTCTATGCAGATGATACTATTCTATTATCAGAATCCGCGGAAGATCTTCAGTACCAGCTTGAGATGCTCGGTGAATACTGTAAAAAATGGCACTTGAAGGTTAATAGTGCTAAAAAAAAAATTGTTATATTTGGTAAAGGTAAAGGATGTAATAATAATACATTTAAGTTTGAAGGTGTTCCATTGGAAATTGTTGAAAATTTTAAATACTCAGGAGTAACATTTAGTAAAAGTGGATCTTTCAATTTGAATATTAAGGATATGTATGAAAAAGCTACAAAAGCAATGTATCACTGAAAGAAAAACCTAGTGAATTTAACTAGTGTGTTTCGTAAAGCGTTGGTCGTGATTAGTAAACTTTCAGTTTACTGGTTAAGATAGTGAGTTGTGGAGCTGGGGTCGTATAGATACTTAGATACCTAGTGAAAGTTACTCATCAATTCTAAATTTACTAATCTTATCTAGTAAATATACCAATATCTGGTAAAACTACTATTCAGGTAGTGATTGTATGGACAGTGAATCTACTAGTTTTCTTCGTGACATTAACTAGTTATTTTTTTTTTACAGTGTATGGTATTCTTGGAAAATGTAGAAAACATAATCTTTCAATTGATTGTAAACTAGATATGTTTGACAAAATAGTGAAACCAATTCTGTTATATGGTTGCGAAATATGGGGATTTTGTAATATCGCTCTTATAGAGAGACTTCATCTAAAATTGTGTAAGCATATATTAAATCTTAGGTCTTCCACGCCTAATTTTATGGTGTATGGAGAACTTGGAAGATATCCTCTATCTATTAATGTCAAAACTCGTATGATTTCTTTCTGGGCAAAACTTGTGGTATTACAAGGTACTAAAATGTCATCAAAACTATTATTTGTGTTAAAAAATCATAATATACCATGGTGTAATGCTGTTAAAAATACTTTGAATGAGTGTGGATTGGCTTATGTATGGCAACAAAACTCTATTAATATTACATGGTTAAAGAATAAGGTGCAAAATATTCTTGTAGATCAATTTAAACAATTGTGGCATAGTGATACGTATAATTCACCAAAAAGTCTTAATTATAGATTGTTTAAAAAGTCATTAACTTTTGAGAAATACTTGTTGAATTTACATCCTAAACTTTCTATGAAATATTGTATTTGCTGGAAATGCTAAGCTTCCAATTGAAACAGGTAGATGGTATAATATTGCAAGAGAAAACAGAATTTGTCACTTTGTTTATGCAAGGAAATAGGAGATGAATTTCATTATTTATTTAAATG